AAGTACGAAAGTTAACAAGGTTTCCTTGTTTTCTTCGTTGCTAATGCTTCTCTATGGTATTCTAGCACTTCAAAATTTAGCAACGTTTAATAAAATCATGGAAAAAGGAGTGGAAAAGACTTCTACCTTCATACTTGATAGTTACATGATAAAAAGTATGTGAACGATGGCGGGGTATTTATCTATTTCATCGCATCGCCCTTACCTCCAGTCTGTATGACCATAATCGAACGACTTTGATCGTCGTCTTGCTTCAGTTTCTCGCCTCTTTCGTCTCCATTACTATTCTCTACCCCACTGAAGGACTGGGATCTATAAGGTTTTTCCATGCCTGCGAACAGCGTTGTTTGTTGTCGCCTCTGATCTGATTTAAACTCTGACCCGGAACCTCAAGGCCCGCCGGTAAGTGCCAATCAGAAGGGTCCAACCTGGTTCAGCTATAACCGCAGAGCCTTATTGTCTCCACTGAAATACATTTTTGCCAGAAAATAAAACTTATATCATTTAATAAGTGATGTAGTATATTGTAAAAAGTAGCACTTCTTGGAACTTGAAGGATATTTGCCTCCCAATATTCCGTACCTCCCCATAAACTTTGCAATGGAATGGTCCATAAGGAGGCTAAAGGCCAATGTTCTGCTTGGGGGCTGGGATGCCGAGGAGGTTTTCGTCGCCATCAAACCTCTCTGATGTTTCCCAGTTGGAAGCTAGCGACCACCAAAACAACGCTTCTATTTGTCTCAAACTGCAGGCAAGCTTTCAGATAAATCAGTGGCTTCATATAACCATTCAGACTTCACGGAGTGTCTTGTATTTTGTTGCAACTAGGTGTCCACGATACCCCCTCGTGACGCAACGGTTGCACTTTGACTTTGAGTCGCACGAAGTTTCATCGACTTGTGCAATATTGAAACGCGACGCAGTATTTAAATCCGTGTGTCTGATTCTTTGCGCAACTTTTGCCAGACGACCACTCTGCTGCTCCACGCCCAGAGCACGCCCATCTGCTCAACTGCTTCCCGCGAGAAACCCAGTGACCGCCTCGTCCTTTCAAAATATCAGGCTACGGATCGCCTCAGTACAGGTACCTGATCTATACTAGTAATACTATCAGCATCTACCGCACGATCTGTTCTCTGTCCCGCGAAGTTCTTTTGATTTTGATGGCTGCTTGAATAGAAGGGGCGGGGTGCCACACCATGCTGAGAGATCTGCCCTATTCTAATCCTCCCATTATCAAGTCAGATCTAATTGGCTCGTTTTTATCGCACTACAATAACATACCTGTTGTTGTAAATCAGTGTTAAGTGTTGGATAATGAGAAGGGGGGTGAGTGATTACAATTACTAGTACGTAAAATTCTCAGAGCTGATTACGAACACGTTTATATACGGCTAATGTACTGATTACGAATTACGTTGATTTTGGCCAGCAGCCTACGGATTACTAAGACTAATAAGGCCTGACTACACCTTACAAAAAAGGCATGCAGGTGCTCATTGAGATGTGTTCCCAGTCAAGGTGGAAGTCACTGCAGAACATAACGTTAAACATGACCCCCCCCCCTTGC